AAGGGTATGTGTGTGTGTGAGTGAGTGAGGGAGGGGCTGTGTGTGAGTGAGTGAGTGAGTGAGTGAGTGAGGGAGGGTGTGTGAGTGAGTGAGGGAAGGTGTGTGTGTGAGTGAGTGGGTGAGTGAGTGAGGGAGGGTGTGTGTGTGTGAGTGTGGGAGGGTGTACGTGAGTGTGTGTGTGAGTGAGTGAGGGAGTGAGCGTATGTGTGTGAGTGAGGGAGGGAGGGTGCCCGCGCGCGTGTGTGAGTGAGGGAGTGAGTGTGTGTGTGTGAGTGAGGGAGGGAGTGAGTGTGTCTGTGTGAGTGAGGGAGGGAGGGTGTGCGGGTGTGTGTGTGTGTGTGAGTGAGGGAGGGAGGGAGGGAGAGTGCGCGGGTGTGTGTGTGTGTGTGTGTGAGGGAGGGAGGGAGGGAGGGAGGGTGCGCGGGTGTGTGTGTGTGTGTGTGAGTGAGGGAGTGAGTGTGTGTGAGTGAGTGAGGGAGGGTGCGCGGGTGTGTGTGTGAGTGAGGGAGGGAGGGAGGGAGGGTGCGCGGGTGTGTGTGTGTGTGTGAGTGAGGGAGTGAGTGTGTGTCTGTGTGAGTGAGGGAGGGAGGGTGCGCGGGTGTGTGTGTGTGTGTGTGTGTGAGTGAGTGAGGGAGTGAGTGTGTGTGTGAGTGACGGAGGGAGGGAGGGTGTGCGGGGGTGTGTGTGTGTGAGTGAGGGAGTGAGTGTGTGTGTGTGAGTGAGGGGGGGAGGGAGGGAGGGTGCGCGGGTGTGTGTGTGTGTGTGGATGAAACACAGTCAACTCCCAACCCACCGTCACATCAGATGAACCATCTGCGCTCAGACCCAATCCCGGCTGATGAGAAACTACAGGGTGTGCGTCGAGAGAGATAGAGAGAGAAAGAGAGGGGGGGTTGGGGGGGGGGGGGGGGTGAGGGGGGGCCTTTCTCCGAGAGGAAGAGTCATCGGAGTCTCTCTCTCCCTCTCCCTCTCTCCCAACACAGGTCCCTGGGTCCTCAGCGTTGCCTCGCTGGGCATGTTGGCCACTATCTCAGTTGCCGCCAGGGTTTGCCCAAGGACTTGTCGCTGCGATGGGAAGATCGTGTACTGCGAGTCCCAGGCCCTCCTCGAAATCCCCCCCAACATCTCCTCCGGCTCGCTGGGCTTGTCCCTCAGATACAACAGCATCAAGTCGTTGAGGCCCAGCCAGTTCTCGGGCCTCAACCAACTCACCTGGCTGTACCTGGACCACAATCACCTCCAGGGGGTGGACAGGGAGGCCTTCCAGGGAATTCGGAGGCTCAAGGAGCTCATCCTGAGCTCCAACAAGATCGCGAGGCTCCACAATGTCACCTTCCACCCCGTTCCCAACCTCCGCAACCTGGACCTGTCCTACAATAAGCTGCACCTCCTCCAGCCCCAACAGTTCAAGGGCTTGAGGAAGCTCCAGAGTCTGCACCTGCGTTCCAATTCCCTCAAGGTCATCCCGGTCAGGCTCTTCCAAGACTGCCGGAACCTGGAGTTCCTGGACCTGGGATATAACCGGCTGCGGAACTTGGCCAGAAACGTCTTTGCCGGGCTGATGAAGTTGACCGAACTGCACTTGGAGCACAACCAGTTCTCCAAGATCAACCTCTCGCACTTCCCGCGCCTCTCCAGCCTGCGGACGCTCTACCTCCAGTGGAACCGGATCCGGGTGTTCAGCCAGGGCATGTCGTGGACCTGGAGCTCGCTGCAGAAGCTGGATCTGTCCGGCAACGAGATCCAGGCCATCATTCCCGGCGTGTTTCGCTGCGTGCCCAACCTCCAGAGCCTGCACTTGGATTCCAACAAGTTGACCACCGTCAGCGAGGAGATCCTGAACTCCTGGGCCTCGCTGACCACCGTCAGTCTCTCCTCCAACATCTGGGAGTGCAACCGCAACATCTGCGCCCTCGTCAGCTGGCTCAAGGGCTTCAAGGGTTACCGGGAGAGTGCCATGATCTGCGCCGGGCCCAAGCCCGTCCAGGGGCAGAACGTCTTGGAGGCCATCCAGCTTCACAAGACCTGCAGCGGGCTCCCGAAGGCCTCGACCACGCAGAGGCCTTGGACCTCCCAGGCCACCCGCAGGAGCCCCAGGCTGCCCACCAGGCCCGCCCCGGCCCCCGCTGGCGACAGGCCCCCCGCGGCACACACCGCCCGCCCGCCCAACTCTTCCTCGGCCGAGCCCGAGCTGGACTTCGAGCACGTCTCGCTGCACAAGATCGTGGCGGGGAGCGCGGCCCTCTTCCTCTCGGTCGCCATGATCCTGCTGGTCATCTACGTGTCATGGAAGCGCTACCCGGCCAGCGTGAAGCACCTCCAGCAGCGCTCGCTCGTGAAGCGGCGCAGGAAAAAGGAGAGGGAGCACGAGCGGCAGATGAACACTCCGCTGCAGGAGTACTATGTGGACTACAAGCCGTCGAACTCGGAGACGGTGGACGTGTTGGCGAACGGCAGCGAGACCTGCACTTACCCGCGCGCCATCTCCAGGGAGTGCGAGGTACAAACCGTCTCTCTCTCTCTCGCTCGCGTATACACCGACCGTACACCCCTCCCCCACCCCCCCACGCATCCCCCCCTCCCACACACACGCGCACACACACGCGCACACACACACACGCATACGCGCACACGCCTCTGTTTACCAGCAGTCAGTAGGAACCCGGTTGTTAGTCGATTTTAGGGGTTGGCTTTCCCCGGGGGTGGCGGGGGTGGGGGGGGGATAATAATCCCTCCAAGAAAAATTGTTCGCGGCTGTTTGCGGGGGACGCTGCTGTGCGCAATGGGCTCCCGCATTTCGCCCACGAAACACACAGTCACTCCGCTTTACGGCGTGTCCCGCGAAGCGCTTGGAGACGTCTCGAAGACGTGATAAGGCGCCGGGTCAAACGCGAGGATTATTATTATTATTATTATTGTTATACAGTACGCAGGTAGTTCGGGACTAGAGCTATCGCCGGGAAGGTGGAAGGCAAACTGGATGGACCGCCATCTTTCCCCCCACCCCCCCCCCCAGTATTTCGTACGGTCTCTCACGTCACGGAAGCAGTTGCGTTCATTTTCAGGAGGGAACCGGGTAGGGTTGACTCCCAGGCGGGGTGTGGGGTGGGGTGGGTGGAAAGGCAGGTGGCGAGAGGACGGAAAGGATGGCTCTTTCTCGGAGCCAGCGCGGACTTGATGGGCTGAATGGCCTCTCCCTGCCCCCCTGCGGGTTCGACGTTGAGTTTTCTGACTGTAATCTCCGTTTCGAAAGCCGATTCGTTTCAAGGCTTCGACTGCGAGGAATCCCGGAGCTGATGGTCGAGCGTTCCCAAACCCCCCTTATTTTGAGGAGCTATTTTGTCCCTCTGTCCCTCCGCCTTGCCCCCCGCGCCCCCCTACCCCACACTTCCTTCCCTTCCCTTCCGTCCCCGTCTTCAGCTCGCGCCTGAAGATTTTTCGACCGTGCCTACCACCGTGCGTGGGGGCGGGAGGAGCACGCGTGGGGGGTGGGTTTGGGGGGGTGGTGGTCAGCCCTCTGGAACGCCACCCTGCGTGAGACAGGGGCGCTGTGTCGGTCGGTACGAGTTGTCCTTCTTAAGCCGTGCCACCAACGGTGGGATTCGGGAGCCGGTGGGAATGTCGCTGCTTATCGCGCGAGCGCCGGACGATGGAGCAGAGTAAAGGCTGACGGACTTTTCCAAGCAAAGCAATTCCAAGGCAATGTTCCGCACGTTGGCAATGGCTTCGGCTTTGGGATTGACCGGCGACGTGGCCTGTATTTTGCATGGACTGAAAGATAAATGAGTAAGCGTGTGCGTGCGCGCGGGGGCGTGTGTGTGCGCGCGCGCGCGAGTGCGCGTGTGTAAGGGTGTGTGGTAACATTTTGCCTTTAACGTCCACTCCCAAAATACACAGCATTTCCTGTGAAGTACTTAGAGATATCATTATGTGATAATAATCCTTACATTTCCTTACGCCACACACGCGGGCGCGCGGTCAGTCGATTGGTGGTCCGCGTTTCCGGGGGTAATAACACCCACGAAGAAACTCATAATAAATCGGTCACTCAATCCACGACTGTGTGTGTGTGTGTGTGCGTGTGCGCGATGGCTGTTCGCCCGCAAAACACACAGTCACTCCGCTTGACAGGGTGTCCTGCGAAGCGCTTTGGGGCGTCTCGAAGACGTGATCAGGCGCCGGGATTATTAATCACTGCTGTTAATATTTTCGTGCCCCCCCTCCCCGACCGAACAAAAAAAGAATCAATCCGTCGCAGTCTGGAAAAGGTCAGGAACAGAGTGAAAAGGAAAGGGGGAGAGAGAGAGAGAGAGAGTGCGCGAGAGAGAGAGAGGGGGGGAATGAGAGAGGGGAAATCACAGAGGATAGCGTGAAGGGCAGGTCAAAGTTTTACAATATCAGCACTGAGTCAGTGGAACGCGGAACAAAACCCCGGATCACGTGGCTGCGTAATTCCACGTCCTTTGACACACAGAATCTTTTACAGCGGTTTTCCAATTAGTCCCTTTGCTGTAGCGTTGGCTCCGCAGTTTAACTGAGGATCGTTCCCGAGCCACAATGTGCCGCTGCGCGATAAGCCGTCGGAGTCTAAGAGGCCTTTTCTCCTTCGGTTTTTATTTGACCGCCTCGTTGGCGCGTTTGGGTTTGCGAGACTGCGCTGTCGGAGCGCGGCCCCGTGGCTTTGCCCCCCTTTTTTTTCGCGCGTTCGGGATCGTTCGCTGCCGAATTGGGCTGCGGATGGCGAGGGTGTGTGGGTGCGCGCGTGTGTTTGGGTACGGGGAGTGGACGTGTGGGTGTGTGCGCGTGTGTGTGTGTGCGTGTGTTTGGGTACGGGGAGTGTACGTGTGGGTGCGTGTTTTCCGTGCGCGTGATAATATAACATAATAATAATAATAATCCTGGGGTTCAACGGCACCTCAAAGCGCTCTCCGCAGGATGCACTTGCCACAAGCGCGTGTGGCGCGTGTTGGGCGCGCCTGCGCCCGCGTGTGGGCGAGTGTGTTGCGCGCGGGCCTGCGGGCCACTGGCGTGCGCGCTAACTGTGTCATAACGACGCCAAAAGGGGGCATCTGCCCCTCTTGCGAAGGAGGAACAACCCCTTCCTAAACGAATCCTAACGAGAAGAAATCGGTCGCTTTCAACCCACGACTGTTTGCGGGGACGCTGTTGGCGGCCGCAGAAAATATCCCGCGTCCCGCGACGTCTCGGACACGCGACGGGGCTTTTTTTTCCTGGGCCTTTGACCGACGAGCGTCGCATTGGGCGGCGGAGAGAGAGAGCGATTGGACACTTGGCGGCACGATCCGCCGCGCGCTTTGAGACGTCTCGATGACGGGCCGATCGGCGGCTTTCCCGGGGCCGGGGAACGTCCCCCCGGCGCCGAGCAATCCGGCGGTGGCAATTCGAGACGTCTCGAGGCGCTCCGCGGTGGAATGACGCTGTGGCCGTGCGTTTTTGCGGGCGAAACGCGGCAGCCGACTGCGCCCGGCAGCTCCCCGCGCAAACGGGGGCCGAGCGTCGAATACGCAGAGGTCGGATACGTGTATATTTTGTGGTGGTGAGCGAGCGTTGGGGGGGCGCGCGGGGGGGGTTTGGGGGGGTGACGCGCGCGGTGGGACAGAGAAGGGCGTAGAAAGCCGTTACGTCCGCTCGCTGTCAGCTCCGATCGCTGACACGTCGCACTGTGCTGTCTTTTACACGACACGCAGTGTCCAACCTGCGCTCTTAACCCTTTCATCACCTTACGGCGAGGTCTTGCCCCCATATTAACCGGCCACGAGACTTGCGGTCCTGCCTAAAGAGCCTCTTAAATACCCCCCCCACAGCCCCCTCCCTCCCCCCCCTCTCTCTCTCTCGCTCTCTCTCTCTCTCTTCCCCCCAACTTAACTCTACGACCTGCTCTCACGCGCCGCACCCCCCCACCCCCACTTGCTTCGCCCCGCCGGGCGCCTGTGGCACGCGCGGAAACCCGTCACCCACCGCGACCCCCACCAGAATCCCCCGCGGCTTCCAGACAAAGCAGCAGTAAGATACGAGCCTCGACACTAACCCCGCGCCTTTGACCCAGCGCCTCGTCGCGTCTCCGAGCGTGGCGTAAGGAAACCCCGTCCCGCATTTCGCCCGGAACTGACTCGCCCGGGAATCGAAACCCCGAAGCCCTGAGCCGCAGGACTTTCGGCTGAAGCGCCGACTCCCGCGTACAGACTGCGCAAGTCAGCTCGCGTTTACGGTGCATCCCGCGAAGCGCTCCGAGCCTCGTCATCCAAGACGAGATGAGGCGCTGTATCAAATGCGAGGGTCATTGTTATTTTTTTCACGCGCGTTGGGTAAGAAAAAAGCAGAGAGCCGCGGCTCGGAAGTGCCCGAATCATGACGGCTGCCCTCTCAACCCGGCGATTTGCGCAGGACTCTGATCGCCCGAGTTCCCGCCGGCGAAAACCTTCCGATTCGTACTTAATTAAAGCGTCGTAGCCGACAAACTGACTCGGCTCTCGAACCATCTGGGCTGCCGTCAATCAAGTGATTCCCTCGCACAGTTTTCTAATCGATATTCTAAAATGCGCGGGGACTGTGCACACACGAGGAGCAAACCCGGCTCCGGAAGGTCAACGGCAAAGTCAGAGCTGTCCGGCTGTGGGGTAAAGTGAGAGAGGACTTGGGTTCGATTCCCGGGCGGTCAGGTCAGGGCGAAACTTTGGCCAAGTTTCCTTACTCCACACACACACACGCGCGCGCACACCCGCGTCTGTTTACCGGCGGTCAGTAGGAACCCGGTTGTTAGTCGATTGGGGGATCGCTGTTCCGGGGGGTAATAATCCCGTCAGAATAATAATAATAATCTGGTCGCTCAATCCGCGACTGTTTGCGAGGGACGCCGCTGTGCGCAATTGGCTGCTGCGTTCGGCCCCGCGGAATATACGGTCACCGCGCTTGACCGTGTGTACCTGTCAAGCGCCTCGAGGCGCCTCGGAGACGCGAGGGGGTTTCTCAAGACCGTAAACAACACGGGCTGCGAGCCAGGCTGGCAAGGCATTGGGGGACGCGTCGCGTTACAGTCAAGGCATCCCTCCGACTGAAGAGACGTCGCAGGTTGGGGAGCTGCTGGATATTTAATTGAGGAGCATTAAAAAAATTCCACGCTCTGTAAGTAATGCTCTATGTGCTCCCCGCAGACCAAAGCCAGCGCGCCCCCCCACCCACCCCCCCACCGGCCTCCCGAGCGGGCAGGTTAAACACAAAGTTGTCTGCAAACATGGCACGATATTCCCACTGACATTCCCACCGGGGAATAACCGCCGAATCAGCCCAATCTGATATTATTATTATAATATTAAGCCTTTGAACCGTTCGTCTGCTCAGACCTGTTGGGATTTCACACGGAAGTTGCCGAGACGGAGTAGCGCTCCCTCTACACCGCGAGACGCTCGGTCCAGGACAAAGGTTGTTATTATAATGTCCAATAAGTCTTTCCGAGAAACGATATTTTTGTGTGTTTCTGGA